CCGATCTGTCACGCCTTTTTCAATCAGCTGGGCCAGCTCGAGGCGTGTGGCTTGCTGTGCTTTTATGGCGCGCTGGCGGAAGGGTTCGTTAAGCGTAGCTCGGCCGCGAATAATCAATGAGTTAGAAGGCGCCTGCATAGCTTGCCTAACATACTCCATGAGCTGGTCGAATGCGTTGCCGCCACTTGCCCTCGCTGAGGCAAGTTGGAGTGAGCGATTGGCTGAGTAGGCTTCGATCAAATAAGCCTTTATGTCGTCGCTACTCTTGAAGTAATGGTAAACCGCGGTGTAGTGAAGGCCTAGTTTTTCAGCGATCTGGTTAAGTGTGAAGTCGGCATTACGTTTCGAGTGCAACAGGTGTTCGGCTGTGCGAACAATTCTTGTGCGTGTTGTTTGATCGTCTGAAGCTTGGTCTGTAAAGGTCATTCTCGTCTCAAAATTCTGTTTTTGTCGCCAGGCGACGCGAAGGTTTCCTGCTTTGCTGCATGCTCGCAGATTGTTGCGTCGAATTCTGTAAATTCATCTTTGTCCGCGGCTAACTCGAGCGGTTTCTTATGGATCTAGCAGTGAACTTATCGATCCTCTGACAAGGATAATTCAGCTATATAGTGATATTTGTAAATAAAAATGTACACAAATATAATATTTGCCAAAATCCGCGAATAAGAAATAGTGTTGACTTCAGGTAATTTTTGTGACGAAATGATGGCAGTGCCACGATCTTGGTCTAAACAAATGTTCATGGGGAGAGAGCTATGTTTACAGGAAAGCTTTTACACGGTGCACTCGTTGTGTGCGTTACTTTCGTGATTGCCGTGAGTACCGGCTATTCGCCCACTGCTGCAGCTGAAGAAGCTGATGCTTTGATTGAGGAGATTGTTGTCACCGCGCGTAAGCGTGCGGAACGCCTGCAGGATATACCGGTATCTGCTGCGGCTTTAGACGCTGGTTTGATTGAAGATCTTGGTGGTGTCTTTGGTCTGCGGGACATTACCGACCTGATTGCAGGTATCAGTATCAATGAGACCCAGGAGCCTACCCTTACCGAACCTACCATCCGCGGCGCGGGGCAGTCGCGCAATCGTGCTTCTGTATCCGCCACAGGCCTTTACCGTAATGGTGCGTACTTCGCGACGAGTAGTCTGGGGGGTAAAAACTTTGCGCGCATGGACACCTATGACCTGGAGCGCGTAGAGGTCCTCCGAGGCCCCCAGGGCGCACTATACGGGCGTAATGCGTTGGGCGGCTCGATGAATCTGATTTCTAAAAAACCAACCAATGAGTTTGATCTTGATGTTGGTCTGGCTGCTGGGCAGAAAGATATGCAGCGCTACGAGGCGAAGGTCAATATACCCATCAATGAGCAGCTGGCCGCAAGGGTCAGCTATTTCCATGAAGATCGCGATGAAGGTTTCTATACCGACGTCAATGGGGACTATGTCGATCAAGAAGAATTCCGTCATAGCCGGGCTTCGCTTCGCTACCGGCCGAATCAAAGCTGGGACATTACCTACGTGTTTGATAATCAGGAAGAAACTATTGCTCCTGCAATCACGACGGTGACCGCACGTACCCCTGATCTTGATGATGCTTTCCGCTCAACCATTAACACCCTGCACCGCAATACCAACGATGTTGATAATCACAATCTCACCATCGACTGGACATTACCTGGTGGCGTTTTAACTTCCGTCAGCAATTATCGTGATCGTGAAGTGAATGTCACCCTTGATAATGACTATGGAGCTGTTAACACCAACCTGATTAATGGCGGGCGTACTTTTCTGCAGGATGTGAGCAACCAGATTATTTTTCAGGAGCTTCGTTTTGTTGCGGACGGGTCGAGTAACTTTAAGTGGTTGGTAGGTGCTGACTATTTCAGTCACGATAACACTGAGGAGTTTGATCAATGGCAAGGTACTTTGTGGGCTAATGCCCAACGCCGTACCGTCAATATGAGTGCAGATTCCTGGGCAGCATTTGGTAGCGCCGAATATTCGTTCAGCGATATCCCGGTCACTATAACGGGTGAGTTACGCTACGCAGTGGATAAAATTGATGGCGATGTGCTGACGTTCAGAAATCGCGACAGAGTTGTGCCACAGACCGATTTCGCCGCGGATGACAGTTTCACCAATTTGCCCTGGTCGTTGACTGCGTCCTATCGCTTTAGCGAACAGGATGTCATGGCTTACGCCAAGGTGGCATCTTCTTACCGGCAAGGTGGCATGAATCTGAACGAAGGCTCCCCTGGCGTGGAACTCTATCCCGCGGTGCTGACGTATGGTGAAGAAACTTCTACAACTTATGAAATTGGCATGAAGTCTTCCTGGTTCGATCGAGCCGTGACGTTAAACGCAGCAGCTTTCTACATTTTTTACGACGATTTTCTAAACACCACCGACAATGGCTGCCCGGCAGACTGTCAGCTGGTTGATGTCAATGGCGATGGCCTGGGATTCAATCCGGACGGCAGTCGAATTGGCGAAGATGCAGACGGAGTACCTATACCGCCAAACGATACCATTCCTACGGCCTTTTTCATTGATAATGTAGGCGAGGTTGAAGCATGGGGCTTTGAAATTGAAACAAGTTACCGAAAACGTTTTGATTTTGGTGGAACGCTGCGATTCAATCTTGCCTATTCAAGAGGTAGAGGTCAGGTCGAAAGTTTAAACAGTGACGTGTCTGCGGCCACTGAAGCGGTTGCCGGTGGGGCAACCTTGCCATTCCTGCGTCCTGATCAGGTCAAAAGCTCAGTAGTTTACCGCCAGTCACTGAGTGGTTTGCAGTCTGTGCCAGGGTTTGCTGGTGCCTCTCTTGTTGCGTCTGCATCTTATACCTTCGAGGATGGTGGATTGAGTGCACTGTCTAACGGCAATCCTGCGCCTCTTGGTACCGTCAAAAGGGTAAACGCGAACATTGGTATAGAGGCAACGAAATGGTCGTTGTTTGTGCGGGCGAACAACTTGACTGATCAGGCTTACAGAGCCTACGCAACCGTTGTGCGCTACATTCCCAATCGTCCCAGGTATGTTTTTGGTGAATTCAAATACTACTTTAACCGGTAGTTCAGGGTCTCAGGCTAAAGGGATGCAGGTAATGGCAACACGTACATGTTTGTGTTTTGCATTGCTGGTTTCAGTATCTCTGACCCATGCGGAATCTGACAGCAATCACTCCGCTCCGACGGAGCGCTCGGCGTATTTTGGTGATCTGCACATCCACACAATGTATTCGTTTGATGCATTTACCGGTAATGTGCGGACAACCCCGGATGATGCGTATCGATATGCCAAGGGTGAGCCGATAGGTCATCCCTCTGGTGAAACCTTGAGACTCGATGGACCACCACTGGATTTTCTCGCGGTCAGCGAACATGCCATGTACCTAGGGGTGTTTGCAGCTCAACTCGATGCAGGCAGTCCCACCTATGGACACCCGGATGCTGAAACGCTGTTACCCAGGACAGGTATCGGTTTAGATAGAGTTTTTGTTCAACTCAGTAAGCTCAAGCCTGTTGAGGGTGGCCTGTTGGATCCCGAGATGACGCGTTATGCCTGGGCAAAAGTCGTAGATGCAGCTGAACGGCACAATGAACCAGGTAAGTTCACGGCGTTTATCGGCTACGAATATACGCCAACGCCGGGTAGTCGACATCTGCACCGTAACGTCATCTTTCGCTCAAACCAGGTGCCCGGTAAGCCATTCAGTTCGTTGGACTCTGCAGATCCCGAACACCTGTGGAACTGGCTCGATGATTTACGCGCCGAAGGCATCGAATCTTTGGCGATCCCACACAATATGAATCAGAGTGACGGCCTGGCTTTCCAGGAAACTACGTTTCAGGGTGAACCGATAGATCAGGCGTATGCCGAAAAACGCATGCGCAACGAGCCGATCGCTGAAATCAGTCAGATCAAAGGTACGTCTGAGACACATCCTTCTCTATCGCCGAATGACGAATGGGCTGATTTTCAGATTGTTCGTTATTACCTTGACCGTGCCAGGAATACCAATCCAATTTCTGTCTTTAAAGGCGGCTATTACCGCGATGCGCTAAAAACAGGTATCAGCTTTCAGGACAGAAGTGGTTTTAACCCGTATCAGCTTGGCGTGATTGGCTCAAGTGATTCGCATGTGTCGGCTGGACCTTACGATGAAAATCGTTACTTCACCGGTGGAGCGAACAATCCACGCACACGAGGCTCAGCTTACCCGGCAGCCCAGGACTCCTGGCAGGATTTCTGGACTCCTCGTCAGGCTACCCACGGTACAGGTGGGCTGGCCGGGGTATGGGCGGAAGATAACACCCGCACATCTTTGTTCGATGCCATGCGCCGGCGCGAAACCTTTGCAACTTCCGGACCGCGAATCCTGTTGCGTTTCTTTGGCAGTTTTGATTTTTCCGAATCGATTGTGGATGCGCCAGATCTCGTGCGTCAGGCCTATGCAGATGGTGTTTCGATGGGCACTGTTATGTCTCGGCAAGCCGCAAACGGTGATATTGAGGCGCATGCTGACGCGCCAGGATTTGTACTGTGGGCTGCGCGTGATCCGCGTTCCAACTGGTTGCAGCGTATACAGATCGTTAAGGGTTGGGTGCACAATGGGCAGTCCCAGGAAGCAGTGTATGACGTGGCTTGTGCAGACGGATTGTCGCCAGATCGGGTCACTCACAGGTGCCCTGACAATGGTGCACAGGTCAATCTGGACGACTGTAGTGTCAGCCGCAACAAAGGTGCTGTTGAGCTTAAAGCTTTCTGGCAGGATCCAGATTTTGATCCTCAAGCACAGTCGTTTTATTACGCGCGGGTATTAGAAAATCCGAGTTGTCGCTGGTCGACCTGGGATGCCATACGCCTAGGCATTGCACCTAACCCAGACCTTGCAGCAATCCACCAAGAGCGCGCCTGGAGTTCGCCAATCTGGTACGAACCCTGACTGAAAACGAACCCTGCAATGGGAAAGAGAACTCGGATTTTTATGCAGTATCCTCGATGTTGAAAGTTGCACTACGCGCTTTGCGTTTGTCTAGACAGCTTATAACGATTGTTAGCTTCGTTAGCGTAGTGTACATGCAGGTGGCTTGCTCGCCGGTTGAGCGGCCCTGGGTCGATAATGAAGCACCAGAAGATCCGGGTGCACCTGTCTACGGCGGTAAAATCAAGCTCGCCTACATTGGTGAAACGAACAGCTGGCTCCCTGGCAAAGGGAATTTCGCAGCTGCAGGTCTTAATGTTGCAGCGGCGATCTACGACGCTTTCCTTATGCGGGATAGTGAATGGCAGATCAGGCCTTACCTGGCGCAGTCCATAATCCCGAACGAAGACCATAGCGTTTGGCGGATGACGTTGCGACCGAATGTTAGATTTCATGATGGCACCGCACTCGATGCCGCAGCGGTAAAGTGGAATTTTGACACTTTGCACAAAGCGCCTGGAACAGTGACTTTCGGTGCTGTCAGGGATGTAGACTCCGTTGAAATCATCGACGCTCTGACCGTTGATTATCATCTAACAAAATCGATTGTGGCGTTTCCAGACCTGCTTATAGGGCCGGTGGGATGGCCGTTTTCGCCTACCGCTGCAGCGCGAATGGGAGATGATGCAGGTTCTTATCCCGTGGGTACAGGTCCCTTTCGATTTGTTCAGTGGCGTAGAGACGATCGTATCGAACTGCAGCGCAATGAAGATTACTGGCAAGCCGGACTGCCTTATCTGGACGAGCTTGAATTTCGGCCTTTGCCGGATGAGGAAACGCGCCTAGCCAGCCTGATCTCTCGAGACGTTGATGCTATCCAGACGATGCGTCAGACCACGGTAGATAGAATACGTCAGACGGTTGGTATCCATCGTTATGAATTTGTAGGAAACAACGGCAGCGGATCGATATTTAACGCCTTGCAACCTCCTGTGGATGATGTGCGTGTGAGGCGCGCGTTGGCTTATGCTCTGCCTCAGGATGCGGTGATCGAAGTGCTTGGCGGCGCAGGTATTACGCCAGCACAGAACCAGTATTTTAATCCGCCAAGCATTTGGTTTTCACCACTGGTAGCGCAACGGTATCCGCAGAGTAATCAGGATGAAGCGCGCCGGTTACGCAATGCCTACGTGAACGATAGAAATCGCTCAGATGGAAAAAGCCCGGGAGATCCGGTGGCGATTGAGTTCCTCTGTCTGCCTGATCCCAGCCTCATGGAAGTGGCGCAGGTGTATCAAGCTTTCTGGCGAGCAGTGGGGTTTGAGGTGCGGCTCAGACAAGTCGAGCAGGCTTCTCACATTGTGCGAGTCAGTCGTGACGATTTTATGATTACCTGCTGGCGCTCGGGCGGTGAGGCTGATCCCTACATAACACTGTCTAACGCGTTTGGTCCACCAGCCGAGCAGCCACTTAATTTCACAAACTTCACCCATCCTGAAATAGATGCGGCATTAGAAATACTGCGTACAGAAACTCAATTTGATGCGCGATACGCAGCTGTGGAACGTATTATGATGGTGCTCGTTGATGAGATGCCGCAGCTGTGGAACGCAGCGAGTTCGTCCGTTATTGCAGTGCGGCCCGAAGTGCGGAACGTCGCTGGATGGCGTTTCCCCGACGGAAGCGCAGGCGACGGAATCCCTCAGGCTCGGGTAATGTGGGGTCACGTCTGGCGGGCGGATAGTTAGCATATGATCGCCTTAGTACGCAAAATCCCCTGGCTTGTCGCAACTCTTTTCGCGGTGTCATTTCTCACATACACGTTGATCAGCTTGTTGCCGGGGGACCCAGCGCTGCAGATTCTGGGCGTTGAAGGCGCTTCAGCGGAAGCCATTCTTGAAATCAGGTCGGAATTAGGCCTCGATCGGCCGCTTTTAGTACGATATTTCGATTGGCTGGGAAATACCGTTACCGGAGACCTGGGAAGATCCTACATTACGCGTCAGCCTGTGTTGGATGCCATTCTCGAACGTCTGCCTGTAACGGCTCAGTTAGGCCTCATGGCGATGTTGATTGCGCTTATCGCGGCGCTGCCGCTGGCGATGGTTTCTGCCTATCACGTTGGCGGATGGATCGATCGCGGTGTCACCAGTTTCACGTTTGGACTGCTCGCTGTTCCTGGTTTCATGATGGCGATTCTGCTTATTCTTGTGTTTGCTGTAACTCTGGGTTGGTTACCTGCCACAGGGTGGGTACCATTTCGGGTTGATCCCTGGCGAAACATCAGTAGTGCTTTGTTGCCTGCAATTGCAATTGCCACTGCCGAATTAGCGTTGTACACACGTTTGTTACGCTCGGATCTGATTTCAACGCTTCAGCAGGACTTCATTGTTCTGGCTCGTGCTAAAGGCCTGGCGACAAGTAGAATTCTGTTTCGACACGCGTTGCGCCCCGCTTCTTTTTCATTGCTCACTGTGGTTGGTTTACAGCTTGGCTCAGTGATAAGCGGAGCCATCATTATTGAGGAAATATTTGCCCTGCCGGGTGTTGGTCGCCTTTTAATTCAATCCATCTATCAACGTGATCTGATGATGGTTCAAGGCATCGTGTTGTTTGTCGCTTCCGCTTACGTAGTTGCGAATTTCCTTATAGACGTAAGCTATAGTTACCTGGATCCGCGGTTGCGTCATGTCAAGTAGGTCTTTTTCATTGGGTTTCTGGTTGGCTGCTGCTTGGCTTGTTAGCGTTGTTTTCTGCGTATTGTTTGCGAGTTGGCTACCGGTTGCTGATCCTTTGGAGCCGGTCATTCCAGATCGTCTGAATCTGCCATTTTCAGAAAATCTGTTAGGCGCTGATGGATTGGGCCGAGACATTCTCGCTCGTCTGGTATACGGGGCCAGGGTGTCTGCAGTTATTTCGCTCACTGCGGTGAGTATCGGCATGGTGGTGGGTGGAACGCTGGGTATGATTGTCGGATATTTCCGCGGTCTAGCTGAACGCATCGTGATGGCTTGCGTTGATGTCATTCTCGGTTTTCCAGGTCTCGTGCTGCTGCTGGCGTTGGTGGCTTTTGTAGGTCAGAGCCTGTTGGCGATATCGTTAGTAATCGGATTTTTATCCATACCTGCATATGCTCGAGTTGCGCGAGCTAATACTCTGGTGGTAGCGCAACGAGAATTTGTATTGGCTGCTAAGGCAATGGGTGCCAGCACCTCTTGGATTCTTGCTCGAGAGATTTTGCCAAATGTTATCTTGCCAGTGCTTGCTTATGGCTTGGTTGCAATGGGATTTGTAATTGTCATTGAAGGCGCATTGGCTTTTCTTGGCTTGAGTGTCGAACCACCTCAACCAACCTGGGGCGGGATGATTTCGGAGGGTAAACGCTACCTCAACTCCCACGTGCATGTTGCTCTGGTGCCGTCTGTTACGATGTTTGTAACTGTTCTGTCTCTTAATTTTGTTGGTGATCAGTTGCGTAGTCGCTTCGACGTTCGAGGGTCCAACGTGTGAGCGATACGGCGGATACCCTACTTGAAGTTAAAGATCTGAAAACCTGGTTTGATTCAGCCGCGGGCCCCGTTCGTTCCGTAGACGGCGTTACCTTCAGTTTAGTCAGGGGACGTACAATTGGGATCGTCGGAGAGTCTGGCAGTGGCAAGTCCGTTCTCGCTCGTTCGATCATCAACATTTTACCTAAACGTTCATTAAACCTGGCCGCAGGCCAGGTACAGTTCCAGGGTACTGATCTCAGAGTTGCAACACCACGAAGGTTAAGAAAGCTCTGGGGGCGTGAGATTGCTCTGGTGTTTCAAGATCCCATGACTGCGTTGAATCCAGTGTTAAAGATTGGTGCTCAAATTGTTGAACCGCTGCGTCAGCATTTAGATCTGTCGCGCGCGGCAGCTCGTCGACGAGCCGAGGATCTGTTGGGTGAAGTTGGCATTCCAGCTCCGCAATCGCGTCTTGATGAATACCCGCATCAACTTTCTGGTGGCATGCGGCAGAGAGTGGTTATTGCTATTGCGCTGTCGTGCCGACCTGCGTTGTTGATTGCCGATGAACCCACTACCGCGCTTGATGTGACGGTACAGAAACAGATTCTTGATCTGCTTGCCTATCAGCAACGTACTCAAAATATGGCGATGATTCTGATATCTCATGACCTTGGCGTAGTTGCTGGTCGAACTGATGAGATAGCAGTGATGTACGCAGGTCGCGTTGTTGAGCATGCGCAGACTCGGACGCTGTTTCGCTCGATGCGCCACCCTTATACGCAAGCATTGCTACAGTCTATTCCAAGGATTGGGTATCCGAGTCACACCCGCTTGCCGAGCATTAGCGGATCGCCACCGGACCTGGTAGCACCTCCATCAGGCTGTCGATTCTCACCGCGCTGTCGGTATGCTCAAGACAAATGTTTGCGATCGGATCCGTCATTGGACGAACTGGGCTTCAAGCGTTCAAATGTTGATTCTGCTTTTCATCGATATGCGTGTTTTTTCCCAGTGGGTACATCTGCGGGGGAGCAGGCATTAAAACGCAACATCGAAGCTGGAGTGAGCGCCGCAGGCACCGTGGTAACCCCTGTTGAGTTGCCAACATTGCAGGAGACTGTCTGTGTTACATGACAAACCTTTGCCGTTACGCCCGCGTGACGACATCGTCCTCAGTGTCGAGGGACTGAATGTCTCATTCCCGACGCGGCATGGAGCAAAGGTCCATGCGGTGACAGATTTCAGTTTCGATGTCGCGCGCGGTGAGACCCTCGGTCTGGTTGGCGAATCTGGTTGTGGCAAATCCTCGGCAGGTCGCGCGATTATGCAGCTACCTCCTCCGGACAGCGGGCGCGTGATGTTAAATGAGACAGATCTCACTGATCTGGACAGCATGTCACTCCGCAGCGAGCGCCGTCGTCTGCAGATGATTTTTCAGGATCCTATCTCGTCGCTTAATCCGCGTCGGCGTGTGCGTGATATTGTTGGTGAGGGTTTGGCAATTCGCGGTGTCGAAAGGACTGCACTTGCTGCACGCGTTGATGAAGTGATGGTCGCTGTTGGCCTGGATCCCACTGTTGTTGGTGATCGTTATCCACACGAGTTCTCCGGCGGGCAATGTCAACGGATATGTATCGCCAGGTCTCTTGTTCTGCGACCTGACCTGGTGATCTGCGATGAGCCGGTTTCAGCCCTGGATGTATCTGTTCAGGCGCAGGTACTGAATCTCCTGGAGGATATGAAAGCGCGATATCAGCTCACTCTGTTGTTCATTGCTCATGACCTTGCCGTGGTGAAAAATGTCAGTGATCGGGTTGCGGTGATGTATCTTGGTAGTTTGTGTGAACTGGGTGGCACGGAAGATCTGTTTAGGTTACCAGCGCACCCTTATACACAAGCGCTGTTAGCTGCCATTCCAGAGCCTGAGCCTGATGCGCCGCTTAACGATAACGTTCTCGCTGGTGAGTTGCCATCACCTCTGAATCCCCCTAGTGGTTGCTGTTTTCGTACCAGGTGTCCGAAAGCCGCTGCGGCGTGTGTAGATCAAAAACCAGCACTGCGCGCTATTGGACCTGATCATTTTGTCGCCTGCCATTTTGCTGAAGCTTGAAGAGAGGAAAAACTGACTTTGACAGGTAACAATTCCCACGCTCCGCTTGCCGGTATCAGAGTTCTCGATTTGGCTACCGAGCATGCTGAACTGACTGGACGATTGCTTGCCGACCTTGGCGCGCAGGTGATTAAAGCTGAGCCTCCTGAAGGTGCAGCATCACGCCGCATGCCGCCGTTTGACGAACAACAGCCTTCTAAATCACTTTACTGGGCTTATGTTGGCGCGGGCAAAACCAGTATTGTGCTGGACATAACTTCTGTTGAAGGGCGACGCCGGTTTCTTGAACTGGTTGCTGGTGCCGATGTTCTGATTGAGTCATTTCGACCTGGATTTTTAGAGAGTCTGAAATACGACTATGCCACGTTAGCGGAGAACAATTCCCGCCTGATCCAGCTTTGTGTAAGCCCATATGGCCAGCACGGTCCCAAGGCACTATGGCCTGCGACTGATTTGATCATTGAAGCGGCTGGTGGGCGAATTGCGCTGCAGGGTGACTCCGATCGACCTCCTTTGCCCGTGGGCTATCCCCAGGCCGCATTTCAGGCTGGGGCTCAGGGTGCTGCGGATATATTGATTGCGCTTAATGAGCGGGCGATTTCAGGTTGTGGACAGCTGCTTGATTTGTCTATGCAGGAAGTTATGTTCTGGACTCTAATGGGCGCCCAAGGTGCGCCAGTGTGTGTGGCGTCTGACCCGCCGGGTAGTGGCGATGATCGTAGCACAGCGCAGTCTGGGTTCGCTGGGTTGGTTCCTGGATTTCTCGCATGCGCAGATGGAATAGTTGCTGTGGGTCTGGCGGCCATATCACCTGGCGTAAAAGGCATGTTAAAGCTGGTGATTGAAGAGGCCGCTGAAACTCAGCAATTACACTCCGACTTGCTGGCAGTAGATTGGGATCGGTGGGTGGAATTGTTGAAAGACGGCACTATCTCACAGTCGTTGTTCCTGCAGGCCTTAGATCTTCTTCAAAAGTTTGTTAAGGCTCGCTCTAAGGCAGATCTAACTCGTTGGGCTCAGCTCAAAGATGTGCGTTTAGGTCCTTGTTTTGATGCGCATGATTTGCTCAGCGACGAACATTTTGCCGCACGGGAGTTTTTCTGTGAAATTGATGGTTTGATACAGCCGGGCCGCTGGGCGCAGCTGTCACGAACGCCTCTTTCACTTGCATCGCCAGCGCCAGAGCTTGGTGCAGGCCCCTGGCCTGATTGGTCTGAAACCACGCCGTATTGCGCGCCGAAGACGCCTGTTGCCCAGCGACAGGGGCATGCTTTTGCCGGCCTCAAGGTGGCTGATTTCAGCTGGGTTGCCGCGGGGCCTACCATTACCAAGGCGCTTGCAGATCACGGAGCAACGGTTGTTAAAATTGAATCTTCGAAGCGTCCCGATCTTGCGCGTACGTTACCGCCTTTTTGGCCCGGCGAAGCAGGCCTGGAGCGCAGTTACTGGATGTCTCTGTACGGTACCTCAAAGTATTCATTGGCTTGTGATCTGACGAGCCAGGCCGGTCGGCAACTTGCTCGCAGCGTTGTTGACTGGGCAGACGTGGTGGTTGAGAGTTTTTCCCCGGGCACCATGAAACGCTTTGGTCTTGACTATCAAAGTTTTGCTGATTCCCGTCCTGATCTGGTGATGCTGTCAACTTCGCTGCTCGGTCAGACGGGTCCGCGCGCTGAGTTTGCAGGCTTTGGCCAACAGGGTGCGGGGTTTGCGGGCCTGCACGCAATTACGGGCTGGCCGGACAGAATCCCCAGCGGCGTGTATGCACCCTATACAGATGTGATTGCGCCGAAGTTTGGGATCTCTGCATTGGCGGCTGCACTTCTTGAACGCCGGCACTCGGGTCGTGGACAGTATATTGATCTGTCCCAGGTTGAATCCGCAGTGCATTTTATTGCCCCCGTCGTGCTCGACTATGCGGCGAATGGACATATTACAGGTCCTGCAGGTTGTGACAGTCTGCAGGCCTGTCCTCACGGCATTTTCCCCGCTGCCGGAAAGGAACGTTACATTGCCATTGCGATTGAAACCGCTCTCCAATGGCGCGCGCTGTGCAGTCTGGTATCTGTTGGAGATTTAGCCCAACCGGCGTTTGATGATCTCCAGGCGCGGTTGCAGGTTGCGCCAGAGATTAATGCTGCTATAGCGGCCTGGACGGTTCTGCACGATCGTTATGCCCTTGTCGAGCAGTTGATTGGCGCCGGCATTCCGGCAAGCGTGGTGCTGCGGCCTACTGAGGTTTATAAAGATCCGCAGATTGAGGCTCGGTGTTTTAAGCAGGTGTTGGAACATTCTGTGTTAGGACCTATAGAGGTATGGGGGTTCCCGACACGATTTTCTGCGCGGGATACAATGGTTTTGCGTCCACCACCTTGTTATGGCGAGCACTCGCGATTCGTTATGAGGGAACTGTTGGGTTTGTCCGAGCGAGATATGCAGAATTTCGTATCCGCCGGAGCCTGTGGTGAAAATCACTCATTGTTTAACTAAGGCAAATTCGGGAGAGGGTCAATGTCTGTGAAGAATGTAGTTGGAATAATTGCGGCGATTGCGGTTGGATTGCCGGGCCTGTTGGCCGCTGCGACAGGTTTAGAACAGGTGTTACCGGACAAACAGGGGATGTCTGCCGACCGACTGGCTCGAATCGGCCCCGCCATGCAAGCCTACATCGACCGTCGTGAGGTAGCGGGCACCGTTACGCTGGTAGCTAGAAACGGAACCATTGTTTATCAGGACGCACGTGGCTATGCAGATCTTGCTGCGAAACGACCGTTAGCTGTTGACTCACTGTTCAGAATGGCCTCACAGACTAAACCCGTTACTGCAGTTGCTGCGATGATACTGCTGGAGCAGGGGAAATTCTGGTTGGATGATCCAATTGAAAAATACCTGCCTGAGTTTGCCGATATCACAGTAGGTGAACTCAACAGCGCGGGTGAGGTTGTATTTGTGGCACCTTCGAGCCCCGTTACCGTTCGTCATTTGTTGACGCATACCGCCGGTTTCTCAGGCGGAGAATCTGATGCTGTGAAGCAGGCTATTGCAGAAAAAGCTCGTGCAGCAGATTTCTCGGGCAATCTTAATCTTGAGGAAACTGTGACCAGATATAGTAGCCTGGCCTTGGGCTTTCACCCGGGCACGCGCTGGGAATACAGTCCTGCAGCGGGTATCAATGTGGTTGGCCGGTTAGTAGAAGTGGTGTCTGGGCAGAACCTGTGGGAATTTGTCAGAGAGCATATTTTCGAACCCCTCGAAATGTACGATACGTTTTACTACGTGCCACTTGAAAAGCTTCCACGCTATACAACAGCTTATGTGCGTCAAGCAGATGGTAGTATCGCGCCTGGTGACCCGGATGACGGCAGCAGTCGTTTTGTACGTGAAGGTAAACCCAAGCGTCTATACGCGGGTGCCGGTGGTTTGGTCAGCAGCATACATGATTATCTGCGATTTGCGCAGATGCTTTTGAATGGCGGAGAACTGGATGGCGTCCGCATCCTTAGTCCTAAAACGGTAGCGCTAATGACCGCGCCGCACGCTGTGGGTATTCCTAAAATTGGTAATCTGGGAGGCGTCGGCACCGCCTACGGACTTGGCGTTAATGTGGTTAATAACGCGGTTGCGAGAGGTGCAGCGGACAGCGAAGGTACGTTCATGTGGGGTGGGGCATTTGGTACTAATTTCTGGGTAGACCCTGAAGAACAACTGATCGGCCTGTTCATGATGCAGCTACAACGCCATCAGCCGGTTCGAATTCGCGGTGATTTTCGCGCCTTGGTTTACGCTGCGGTGGTGGAGTGACTCACAAGGTGTTCTCTCTTTGACGTAGTTGCCTGCGGTCTCATTCAGCCTCGGCGCAGTTCCGCTTGAATGGTGATGAGCCGATCCCGGGTAAGCGTGTAACGGTTCAACATCCAGATCGGTAAAAAGTAGCACAAAGGCACAACGATGCCGTCTGTTAATGCCAGTTTGAACAGAACGTCGTCTCCAACCTGGCCGGGTTGTGTGCCTCTGGGAAAGCCGATGGCATAGTCGAGCAGGAAGCCGCCGATGATCAGACCCAGACTCGAAGTCGCCTTTGATGAGAAACCAATTGCTGAGGTGAACACACCTTCCTGGCGTCGGCCGACCCGCTGTTCCTGCTCGTCCACCATGTCAGCAATCATAGAGCCGAACATGATACCGGCAGTGGTCAGCAGGCCGGCCACAATTGAGGTGTGAACAACCAGAGCAACCACCAGCCAGGGGTCACCGTTGTCCGGCCAGATATTGGCAAAGCGAAAGATCACTTTCAGCATGGCAAGCACCATGGTCATACACAGCGCCGTGATGAGGATGTGATGCTTCTGGAATCGAGACTGCAGGAGGGGAATCAACACGAATGCGGTGATGGCGCCCAGAATGGAGAAGGCAAACCAGCGCAGGTCTGCTGGGGTGAACTCCCAGAAGTAGGTGTTCATAAACATATCAAACACACCACCGATGCCGGCGATACCCGCAAACAGCAGCATGGAGGTGAAGATCAGGCGGAAATTGTGGCTCGACCACGCCAGCAGCACCTGCCGGGCCAGATCCATGAAATTGAATTTCGGAGTTTCCTTCACGGGCTGCAGCAGGTAAGGCACTTCGCGACGCGTCATGTGCGTGGAAACAAGGCACCAGAGCGTGATCAGGCTGCCGGTGATCATTGCAAACATCGGATAGTTGCCAGGATCCAGTTGTCCTGCCGGATACGCCTCTGAAGAGGTGAAAACAAAGGTGTACATGCCAACGAAGAAATCGTCGTCACCGCGCAGAAGCGCGAGGAACGTCTTCAAGACGTGCCTCTTGCGGTTTCTGCGTTTACGGGAGAATTCCTTGAAGAACGCATGATTAACGATGTGATGGATTTGACCAACTACTCAGCATCGCTGCGCTATGAGCAGGGCAATACCATTCGTAACGCCGGTATTGCCGTGCGAGGGATCGGCTCAGGTGGGGGTTTCAACGCCGGTGTCGATGGTTCGGTGGGCTTGTATCTGGACGGGGTGTACATACCAAAACAGGCGGGTCTGTTGCAGTCCCTGACAGACGTTACCGCGATTGAACTTCTTAAAGGGCCGCAAGGTACCCTTTACGGAGCGAATACGCCGGCTGGTGTTTTGAATGTGCGCACGGGTCGACCGACCCAGGAGTTCGAAGCCAACATGCAGGTTGGTGTGGGAAACTTCGACTCGCGCGAGATTACCGGTTTTGTGTCCGGTGGTTTGTCAGACGATGTGGCCGCACGCTTGAGCTTCTGGTCGCGGGAAAATGAAGGCTGGTTAGATCTGATGCAGGGTGGTACCAGTAACAGCCGAAAGGAATACGGCGGGCGTATGAAACTGTTGTGGGCGCCTAGCGATCGGGTTGAGTTGGAACTCGCTATGGACTATTCGTTTATGGAAACAGTTTGCTGCGATGGTGAATGGATCGACATTTCGGATGAAGCGTTGGCCACCTTTGACCGCATGGCCACCGGGCTTAATCTGGACCGCAATAAAGTTTTCCCGAGTCGCGCCGGTGGTTATCAGGGTCGAGGCGAAAAACTCGATCACAAGAGCTTTTCCCAAGCTCAAGGTACTGAAAATTTCGACCATTGGGGTGTATCGCTGCGCGGCAGTGCGGACCTTGGAGGTGCATTCGAAGGGTTTGATCTGACCGCGATCCTCTCTTACCGGGATTGGGATTCGGATCAAATTCAGGACCAGGATGAGGTCGGCGTCGACGTCACAGTGTTTGCTGATCAACCTGAGGTCCGTGAAACTACTACCTTTGAAGTACGTCTAAGCTCTCCTGCCGATCGTTTCCTCGAGTACACCGCAGGATTGTTTTACCTGAATGATGACGGCTCATTCCAGCAGCAATCTCAACTGGCGCTACCCGGCTGCATGTTCTCCAGAAACGTGCAGGGCCGCGTTGATTCTGGGGCTTTGGAAGATACCGCAGAGGCGCGTTCGCGCTGTGGTGGTCATGGGCGTTCGGACAACTGGGAGCAGGAGTGGGAAAGTATTGCTGCTTTTGTTCAGGCGACTGCTAACCTCACCGATAATCTGTCACTGACCCTTGGGGGTCGGATTACGCGGGATGACAAATCGGTAGAAAAGACAATCCGCAATTTCGATGCGCTGTCGGAAACAATTGTTGCCGATTTTGGTCTGAACTGCCCTCAATGCACCTTCGGCACCGGCAGTGCCACCATTAACGAGTTGGGTATTCTGTTCGGTAGTGCAGCCTTTGAGGACGAAATAGACAACACCCAGGTCACCTGGGCTGCGACATTGCAGTACTACATCAACGCAATAGAGGCGGCAGACGATCTCATGATTTATGCCCGTGCGGCCACCGGTTACAAGGCGCCTGGTATCAATGCCCGCCCGATTCGGTTTGCTACCATTCCTCGAAGCTACGATGAGGAAACATCGGAAAACTACGAAATCGGTGTGAAATCAACCTGGTGGGATCGGCGCCTGCAGGTGAATCTGGCGGTTTATCAGAACAACTTTAAAGACCTTCAGCAAACTGCTTCAAACCCTTCATCTGATCCCACGGGCGCGATTGGTACGTTTGTGCAGAATGCGGGCGAGCTTGAGCACACAGGTGCCGAAGTAGAATATATTCTGCAGCCCACATCCTGGCTTTCGCTGTCCGGCGGCATCGCTTATCTCGATTCCGAGTATGTTGAATTTGTTGGTGCGCCGTGTCCGGATCTTGGCAATGTTCCGGCTGACCCAATCATTCCGGGTTTGTGTGATTTCACGGGTTTGCCGAATGGGGAAACTCCCGAGTGGCGGAGTAATCAAACCGTTCGCTTAACCTTCCCCGGTCCTGACGAGCGGATGGAATGGTTTGTCCAGGGATCCTGGATCTATACCGATGATATGTACGTAGATGCTGATCTGGATTTGCGGTCCTTTCAGGAGTCTTATTCGACCTACGATATGACCACCGGGCTGCAGGCGGTAGACGGGCGTTGGAAGATCACTGCCTGGGTACGTAATCTGTCGGATGAAAAGTACCTGCTAAGCATCACCAATGGTGCGGTACCGGGTCTGTTCGGAAATCGAGGGTCTAAAGTCGTTCGGCTGGGTATGCCTCGCAGCTTCGGTTTACGGGCGTCGATGAATTTTTGATCGCGTTTTGGAGGTGTTGAGCTTTACGTATCTACTGCGGTTTGTCAGGAGACTGATCAATGAGTCGCATTGTTTGGATTAGATGGCTACTTGTCATTGGTACATTCGGTTTCGCAGCGCTTGCGATCGCGCGTGTGCCAATGGACGCGGAGCTACGGGC